ATTAATCAGAACTGACTTTGACAAGCACTGTGGCAATTGGACAATTAAAACAGACATTCGGATGGCGGGGAAGAAGAACAAACTGGGGAGGAGGGTGGAGAGAATGGTGCGGCAATGAAGGAGAGAATCCCTGTGAATGTTCATTGAAACTAATAAAATTTAATAATAAAAAAAAATTACAATTACTTGTACTATCTTCACCTTTCTAAGTGTAAACTGGTATTCAATCATTATCAATACATGTGAAACAATTATGTTTTAAAGATTTATGAAGATAAAAAGAGCCAGCAAATCTAATAATCTTACTAAGGTTTGAACAATCCAATTTTATCTTTATAAGCATCTGCCCTTTAACACTGAAAACTTTCATCAGGTTTAGGAGGCTGTAAATCTTTTTAAGAATCAAAGATGATTATCCATCTTCTCCTGAAGAGTGGCTGGTGGATAGTGGACTCAAATGGCTAACCTCTCCATTAGCTGCCTTATACATTAGATACTACACCACTAGCTCACCTTAGCACTGCCTAAAGCCCTTACATCCCCCCAGTTAAGACATAATCCATCAGTTTACTATACTAGGAACCAACAGGATGCAGCAGGATGCAGCAGCAGCATCATAGGATAAAGCAGACCAGAAGCCAAACTCAGTATCACCAAGTCAATCCTGATTCAAAGTGACTATCCATCCAGTGGTTTTCTGGAGGCTGTGAATCTTTTCTTTATGAAGCAGCCTGGGGGATTCAAATCACCCAGAAGCATTGCAGACTATGAAGGATGCTTTGCTACAAGGTTAGCAAAAAAGAGGAAAACGCTTAGTACATACGTGGCTATGACAAAGGACCAAATCACGGCATCAATTGTACAGACCGCACAGGATCAGACCATTTGTTACTCTACTCTACCAATCTGATTTGCCAGTACTTAAAAACAAAAAACCCAGAATGACTGAGAAGATTCTCACTTCAAATTTCTTACTACAAACTTACCTCTTCCACTTGCCCATCTTCAGTTCCGTCTTTCTCCTTGTCTTCCTCTTCATCGTCATCATAATCTTCTTCTTCGTCTTCATCTTCTTCTGAGGATGTATCTCCTGTTCCATCAACTTGTAACACTAACGGAGCCTGTGGCTGGGCAGGCTGAGCCTGCGGCTGCGGTTGCCCAGCTGCTGTTATCTGTGCTTGTGCTGGCGTGGGTGCTGCCACTGTTGTAGGTATAACTTGAGTCTTATTTCCAGTATATAAGATTTGCTGGGGCTGAATGATGACACCTGCCTGTGGGGAAATTCCTCCAGGAAGAGGTGCCAATACCTAAGGAAAAGAAAACCATGTATTAGGAACTAACAGTGAGTGTGTCTGGTCTAATTTACCCCATGCTGCTGCTGCTTTCCAGGGACTAGCCCCCCTGATAACATACCCAAAGAGAGGGAGACAGTCTTGCCAGGAGCAAGGAGTTCAGAAAAAGACCCAAATGCTGAACATCTCAAGAAGAAATCATTTCTCATACACATTTAAAACTACCAAAATATAAAAGCAGCATTATCTACGTACAGAACCACGATGGCCTCTAGAGGGCACAAATGGTATGCACTTGACTAACAACCTAAAGGGAGTTCGGTATGCACTTGACTAACAACCTAAAGGGAGTTCTGGTGGTCCGACTAGTGGTAAAGAGAAGTCGCGCTGGCAGCTCTAGAAGTTCCAAACCGGTGCTTCACGAGAAGATGATGAGGAATGTATCTGCCTGTGCAACTTACTGCCTCTGAAACCACACTCAAGGGTCAGTTATAAGCAGGCTCCAATCTGACAGCACAGAACACCAGTAGTAATCTCAGCAGTCTGAACTCATCTAGCAATACAGTGAGAAGAAAATCTGGAAATCTGCTTCTTTAAAGATGCTGCCAAGTCAAGTTTTGACTCCGAGCAGCCCTGTCAGGTTTCCGAGGTTATAAAAAATCCTTACGGGTAATTGGCAATCTCTTTCCCAAGTAATACATGGTACATTCAAACCACTGACCTTTGAATTAGCAGCTAACAAGTAAAGAGTTAACTCCTGTACCACTAGAGCTCTTAAACACACTAAGTACTGACCAAAGTTACTAGAAACTATTATTAGAAAATGTCTTTTCGTTTAAATATTCAAATGGTAATACAGAATTTAGTGGGTCGATACCAAAAACCTGTCACAGAGTTTTCTCAGGGGCAATCTTTATTACGTATGTTTGGTATAGATTGTGGTTTGGTTTGCTATGTCAAACTATGGGCCAAGAATTTATTATATATGATTTAATTTATAGTTTATGTGCTTGTGATACAGAAGTCAGTAGCCTGGCACTCATGGATTAATTAACACATAAACTTTGACTGTAGGCAGTCTGGCTCCTGAGCTCATGCTCTTATTAGGTGACACGGTATCAGGATAGGGCATAGGTCAGAGCCATCGTTCATAGGGTTGCTATGGGTCATAGTCAAAAGCACCCAACAGCATATCTATTCAGAGAACAATGAATTGAGAATCTGAAGATCTAGCTTCCAGTTTTAGTTAAGACATTACATCCAAGCAGTAACATCTCTTGCCTTTAGCCAGCTCACTAGTAAGAATAGTCCAGTGATTCCAAACCTAAGTTGCTAACTAAAACTACCATGTAACTTAAAAATCTAGCATGTGTAGGCATCATCTCTTTATGTTGTTTTGTACTACTGAGTCAGAGCCGGCCCAGAGGGTTTTCAGAGGCACTAAGTCACCTGAGAAAAGACTACCCACACTTCTCCCGCAGAGTAGCTGGTACATGCAGGCTGTAGGAGAGCAGCACAACTCTTCACCACTAGGCCACCAGACAACACCAAAGGCACCATCTCCAACACTGTGACTTAACTGCTGTGATATGAAATCTATTCATTTTAATGTAAAGCTCTTCATGATACTTTCATGCAACTTCAGCTGACAGTTTCCAGGTTAAACGATTTCTAAATTTCTTTCCACATTCTACATGCAAAGATCATAATCACAATTCAGAAAACTTTACTCTATGCATGCTGCTATGAATTTATTATTTCTATGTACCAGAATGAACATGTTTGCAATGGAAACTACTGATAAATTATAAAAAGGGACTTAATGTCTATTACTTTCCTTTCAGAACAAAGAACATAAAAATAGTCAAACAATTCTTCTTATGTTTATGGATTAATAGTGCCAAATGTCAAATTAAAAAATGTCAACTCATGACCATTTCAGCACAGTGGCAGGATACAAGATCAACATACAAAAATCAATTGGATTTCTCTACAGTGACAAAGAGAATAATGAGCTGGAGCTAAGAAAAACAATACCCTTCACAATAGCTAATCACAAGATAAAATATTTGGGAGTAAATATAACTAGAAGCACAAAAGATCTATTCAAAGAAAATTATAAAACATTACTACAAGAAACAAAAAGAGAGACGTGGAGAAGTAGAAGATTAGCCCTTGCTTATGTATAGGAAGGCTCAATATTGTGAAAATGGCAATACTACCAAAGGCAATTTACACGTTCAATGCAATCCCAATACAAATACCAATTCCATTCTTCAAGGAGATGGAAAAGGCAATCTCCAGCTTCATTTGGAATGGAAAGAAGCCCCAAACAAGCAAAGCACTCCTTA